TATATATATATATATATATATATATATAATACTAATATATACTAATAGTCTTTAATATTATATTCTATAATATGCTAACGCTGTTATATTACAGTATATAATATATAGTAGTATTAGTATGTTATAGAACATACTATAAAAGAGTATTAGTATATAACATTATAATATACATACAGTAGCATATATGGCAGCACTATAATATATTGTATTTCCGACAATATAATATTCAATTGAAATAAAGACTTCAAAGCACAAAAGGATGAATTACAATCAGAAAACCCTACATGAAACAAACTGTACCTTCTATTATTTTAGAGAATATTTTCCAAAATAAACATTAATTTCTGTTTAACAAAACGTGGTAAAGAAGAAACCCTCCACCAGTATTCAGTTTTGCAGACCAAGGCCAGACATCCAGATTTCAAGGCTGACAGTGCTTGCAGAGATAATCCAAAAGATATTGTCATATGAACTCTCCATACCGCCGAAAAAAATGCATCACATGTTTTTCCACCATTTATATTTCAGACTGATGAAAATACTTTGAGCTCAGTAATCATTGGGTATCCCCACTTTAATCTCAGTTAACCACCACTTTTAAAAAAATCTGTGGCTTTACAGAACATAAAGCTTTTCCTCTGGAATTTTAATGCAATTCCTCTTCAAGGCAACCTGTTTACATAATAGCACATCACCTCGGCAGCTGTCACTATGGTAAAACTAGGTTCCCCACCCTGCTTCAGAATGGAAACTACTATTAGTGGCCACATTCCACTTCAGACAATATTATCTTTTTGACAACAAGCAAGAAAATAAATAAAGAACAGAATCACAATATGAAAAAAGGACAATTTCTGAGACTCATTAATGCAGATTTAACACGTTTCATGTTTATAAAAAATACTAAATGTGGGATATACATAAAATATTCAGGGTTTGTTCCATATAAATTATAAAATGCAATGATTCTCTGTCCCTTATCACTCTCATTTGGACCAGCAATTCTTCCTCTCTGACTAAAATTAACCAAGGTGTCATAAGCACACCAGGAAATTAATGTGCAGATAACTCTTATGTAGTGACTCCTGGGACTGGCAACTTGGCCATTAAGCAAAGCCATTGTTAAATTACACCATGACTGTGCTTATGATTTTATTTTAACTTTTCTTTGCTTTATAGACCTGCAAAAGTTGTAAATTCAAGGATTGGTCACAAAGTTACTTTTTATCATTGTCATAAGTAGCAGATAGTCTCTAAACAGGGCATTACTCTACAAGGATTATTGTAATATTTTTCATTTTATTCTGCCCTCAATGATTCTGCAGGACTACTTGCCTCCAACTATACCTGCTTGACCATGAGAGCTGGCAGAAAAATATGCTTCAGTCCTTTCTATGAAAGTGTCACATAGCAGCAATAGCAATAGCAGTAGACTTATATACCGCTTCATAGGGCTTTCAGCCCTCTCTAAGCGGTTTACAGAG